GATGCAGAGCGCGACGGAAAGCAGATCGAACTTTGTGTAACGGGAGCGGAACAGATCGAACTTTGTGTAACGGGAGCGCAACACATCGGACTTTGTGTAACGGGAGCGAAACGGATCGGACTTTGTGTAACGGGAGCGCAATACATCGGACTTTGTCGTTAGGAGGCATCGAACATTGAAATAAAGACGTCAATGTACACTCCTAGAGTACTTTTGTGCAGAACACTATTACATGACTTAGTCTCGTTTAATCGAGAATTTTTACGGGAAGTTCGATGGTGACTTCGAAAATTTAATCTGAGAGCTTGGAAAATATTCCAGAAACACTGTGGGTCATCACCTTGGTCATCATTCAGTGATCGACAATCCAAAGTTTTCAGTGATAGTCTTTTGTTCTTGTGGTTTATTTTTTTTCCACTCAATCTTAAGTCATGATGAATGTGTGCAAAATTATAAAATTCCAACGTATAACGTTACTTTTACCCCACACGGAAAAAAAGATTTTGCTCTGACAACAAATTTTTTTGTTAACATAGACATAACAAACAAATTTTGTTAGGGCAACAAATTCAGTCACGTTGTCGGAGTGAAGAGCGCTTCTATTGGCACAACCAATTTTTCAGTCACGGCAAAGAAAAAAGTTTGCTCTGATAACGAAAGTATCAGGTACGGGGAACTCCTTGCTACCGCGACTCGCAGGAATGTATTGAAGTAGTGAAATTAGATTGTTCACCCTACGAAACACGTTCTTGTTACTGGAACTAGATTTGTAAGTTGCAGTAACAAACCAACTTCAGTTGAATAAAATAATTTATAGTAGTAATTTTGATTGCAAAACTTCTGGTTTGCTTTTCAGCACAGAATCAATAGACACATGGGATTATGGGTTATCATTGTTTAATGTTCAAAAACACTAACATATGGAGAATCACTTTTGACAATACAAAAAATAAACAGTATATAAGACTAGACAACATCAAGATACAATGTACAACATTACAAAAACACATACAGAGATCATAAAGAATCACTTTTGGTAATACAAAAATAAACAGTAGAGAAGACTAGAAGAACATCAAGATACAATGTACCGCATTACAACATATTTATCACAATTGACATCACAATGAATAGAGAGAGGGAGAGGGTCAAACAACTCAATTGGTTCCTTACACACCCATAAATTTGTTGATTCGACACACCATGCATGCAAATGAGAGTTGTACCCAAGGTTAAGGAAACGTGTACACAAAAAGTAGACTGAGTCTTCTTGAACAATAATTTCTTTCAATTCACCAAATAGCTGCATACCATCATACTTACTCAGGTCAAGTAGGAGAACCATTCCAGGTTTATAAAGGGTGCCTTTATAGCTAACCCAGTTGCAAGTAACAACTTCATCTTTATCTTTAACAGAGATGGGTAAGCATTTATAAAAATCATGATAAAATTCAACATCCGAGAGAAATACAAAATTTAGAGGACCACACTCTAGACTAGGCATAAATGTTTTTTTTGACTGAAAACGGTAGCACAAATTAAGCTGGTGGTTGATAGCTACAGTTTTACAAATATCCACACGAGAACTAGTAGCTTTTGCTGGAATTGTCAGAGAACGGTGCTTGCTTTCAAACCTCCGGGTGGATAGCAACTCAATTGGGCCACTATTTTCAAGGACTCGTCCATAGTGAACAAGGTTGTGAAATTTGGGTTTAAGTGTGTCTTTAGTTACTTTCACGTACATTTCATTAAATTCTCTAACAAGAACTGAAAAAGATTTACACAGTTGTTTAGGAACCCGTTTACACAAAACAACATCCAAAACTGCAAGCAATTTTAAATGTAACAACCACACAGGTTCACGTTCTGGAACAAAATCTCCAACAAGAAGACCTAGCATTTTTGCAAACAAAATCGTTTCTGACCCAGACATTCTTAGCTTGTCTCTGTCAAGACTTGATATTTCAGGAAATTTGTTGGATTCACTCAAACCAAAATCAAATACAGATATACGGGAATTTAAAATATCAAGGGAGAAGTACTTCGGGACACAAGTGTGCAGAACATGTAATAAAACATAATGACAAATTCCCTCTCCGAGATCATGAAATCCATCTACAACATAGTTCGAAGAAACCTCAAAAGAAGGTATTTGATTAAAAGCTGAATCAAACTTCACTCCAGTGAGTCGAGCATTACCAACTTCTAGATCATTGGTGTAATCATCTTTAGTACGTAAAGTACTGGAGTCTTCAACAGACTGAGTATGAGTGACATTCTTATGAGATTTACAGAATCTACAACAGTAGTTTGCAGTAAAACCCTCAACTAAACCTGATATAGAATTAAGGCCTTTGTTGTCACCAAGTAAAGCCCCACAGACAAAATAAACTCTTTTACAGCCATCAGGAGTGGAAATCAAAATTCCATCATTTTCCAACGCAGTTAATTGAGAAATCAGAGCAGCAAACACAACGTCATCTGAATAGTGATCACGGCACACATTATCAAAGAGATGAGCCAACAAAATATTCTCAACAGCTGACTGGCATTCTGGTGGAAGATGAGGCAGAGATACATAGGCTGCCCCGAGCAACTTACAATGGGAGCCCAATGGGTTGTTACTTTGAACTTCATCAAAGTAAACAAATAATGGAAAAACAATATCATCATCTGAATACTTGGCACGTTTTTCTTTCCACGATGAACATTGTACAAAGTTCTCAAGAACATCTGGATTTTCAGTATCAAGGGACTGAAGATAATTAATAACAGCCGAAAAACAGCCAGGAAGTTCCAGAAATTCCTTTAACACATGTTTAAGAGGGATACTTTGTACTTTAAACAATTTGGGTTTCATAATGATACCTTTAGAAGTTTTAACAGGTACTAGGTTTTCACCTATCACATGAGTTTCAGGGGGGATAAATTTCCCACAGCTAGTAAAGTATTTAAATCTCCGATGTTCTGTTGCTAGATGACTAAATGAATTATTAATTGAATCAAACATCTTTTCTATATCAGAAATCTCTTCCTTACTAGCTGCACACTGCTTCAAGGTGTTAAGAACTTTGTCTTTTAAATGGTTGTTGAAACATTTAGTAACTAGATCATTGGTTTGATCAATTATATTCTGAACATAGCTTCTAGGCATTTTAGGCAAACTGTGGAAAACAGAGACAAAATC